TGTACTGTCCGGAGGTGGTGGAGCCTTCATGAGGGGCAGGGTAGTAGAAAGAAGTTAGGTCTTTGGGGGTGTGCTCTTGGAGGGGAAACTGTCCCCCATCTACCATGAGTGAGCAGTTTTCTCAGCCACATGCTTCCCTCCATGAGCTACTGCTTTGCCACAGGCCCAAAGGCAGTAGGGCAAAGGGACCAGGGACTAAAACCTTTAAAAGTGTGAGGCCAAATAAATTGTCCTTTCTTATATGTGTAGATTATGTCAGATATTTTGACTGGCTGACAAAACTAGCTAACACAAAGGGTGATTCAAACTAAGCGTCGTGTCGCACACCTGTAATCCCAGCACTCTGAAAGGCTGAAGCAGGAGTATCTCTCCACTTCAAGCCCATCCTGGGCAACTTAGTGACTCAGTGAGACTGTTAACCAGGTTTGGCAGCACTGGAGTCTCCTTCTAGAGGTGGTCTCTAGCTAGGTTCTTTCTAACCTGAACAAAGAATTGGTCAGGACAAGCAAAAATAGCAGTTTTTCATTTATTAAAGGTAGGAAAAGGAACAGGCTCTGCAGACTAAGTTTGGGTCAAGTAAAGGTAGGAAGACAAGTACACCCTCCAGGAGAGAACAGACTATAGTGAAGGGACACGGTAACAAAGAGTTCACTGTCCTCTCTGTTTCTCCTGCTCCTCAGGCTGACCCCAGGTCTAGGCTCTCCTATGGAAAACATATTTGAGTTCCGGGGCGACATTCTCACGCAGGGTTAGGGAACTGTTGTAATTTGTGTACTGGGATTTTGTAATTAACAAGTAATGCCTACTTCCCCAGCCAGCTTTGCCATACCCTAATTTCTTGCCTTGAGACCCTGCCTAAAAATGAACAATAAAAAGGACTGGGGATGTAGCTATTTCAGATTGAAGTCCCTACATTCAATCTGAACACTGCAAAAAAATTTTTTTTTCAATGGTTCACATGCTATGAAGAGAGTTACTGATGTGGCACGATTTTCCAAAGTGATCGATAATTTTTGGCCAATTTGAAACTGCTGTTGTTGTTTTTTTTTTTTTCTTTTGTTTTAATACCAGGGATTGAATTCAGGATCTGTGGCTTGCCAGACAGGCAATATGCCTCTGAGCTAAACCCCACCCCCAGCACTCCCTATGTTGGCCAATTTGAAACACAACAAAACATTAACATCCCATGCTTCTTATAATACTTTCAGTACTGAAAAGTTTAGTGTATATTTAAAAATGATGGCAAAATGCCTGTTTATATTTAAAATAAAATTAAATCCTAACTTTAAAGGGTTTTGCAGGACTAATAAAGTCATTCAAATTTGGGGTGTGGTCTAGCATGGTGGGGCACACCGGTGATACCAGCCCTCCAGAGGCTGAGTGAGGCACAAGGATTGCTGTGAGTTTGAAGCCAGCCTGGGCTACACAGCAAGACCTTGTTTCCAAGAAATTAAAAATCAAAATTGGAGATGCAGGAATGTCCTTCATTATGTGGGAGTGCTCTAGGAATCTTGGGTCCTATCTATTAAATGCCAAAAAATATCTTCATCATTATGTGAGGGGAGAATAGCCTCCATAGATTTCTAAAACACTCCCTAGGATGCAAGAACCGATATGAGAGGTCTGTCTGTAGGGAAAGGAGAAGAGTTTGGTGACCTAGCTACTAAGCTTGAATGAAAAGGTTGTGCTAGGTGATGAGAATGAGGCACACTGAGAAGAAGGAAGAAAGCAGCATCCACCTGGGACCTTCCTGCTATTCCGAGGGGTTGATACTATTGTAGACTGTTAAGTTAGGAGGAAATACTATAGGCAGTCAGATAGAGGTAGGCCCTTGAAGAAATCAGGGCAAAAGATAAGAACACATTACAACTGTAGCTGGAGGTGCATTTCTTGAAGGCCAGGCCTCCAGAGAATGACACAAACCCTACACACTTCCCCAGAATGCATACATACCTTCCCAAGGGATGAACAATGTATTATGATTAGTACTAACTGGTCCAATAAGCCTAGGTAGGTATCAGTCACCTGGGTGAGTGACCAGAACCTGGTAACTGATCTCTTCCAAAAATGATCCTTGTTCTTTACATGTATACTTGTATGAGACTTGCTTCAGTATTGGATCAATATTACCTAAGAAGCTATTCTTGTAATCCTACTGGTTGGTTATAGTTTTGTCCCACATTGTATCACCCCTTGATTGTGTACCTGCCTCACGATTTTGCTCTATAAACTTCTTTTGAAAGATGGGTTCATTGGCAACCACTTGAGTCCCTTCCTATCTCTCAGGAGCTCTATCTCGCCCTTGTAACAAAATGGAGCAGAGGGATGAGACAACCCGAGCAGGCTAGAGAAAGCAAAGAGGTACAGACTTTATTCACCTGGGCAGAGATGGACTGACTGTAGTGAGCCAGCCCTGAACAAAGAAAAGGCAGAACTTTACAGGGTACTGGAAATGAGGTCTGGCAAACCTGTCATGTAAAGTGTTCAGAGCAAATATTTGTTGTGGTCAGGGTCCATGTAGCAATCAAGTCTGATGTGTGGATATTTTCAGGTGACTTGGCATTGAAAAGATGCTGTACTTTGTAGTTGTTATCTCTATGGTGGGAACATCCCATCCTGAGTCCTGTGTTCTATCTACTCCCGGGTCACAAGGCTTTTGCCAGACAGAGACAGCACCTGCACGGGCTACCTGTTTTCTTGTGGTTTTTTTCTAGCTTGTCAGACTATAGCTTGTAATCAAAGAGCATATTTATTAACCATTTCACAATCAGGTCAGCCTGAGAGCCCTCTCAATGAATTCAATGGATACCCCCACCCCATCTTGGTTTGGTGGAGGTTGAGATAGAGTCTCATTACGTATCCCACAGAACTCACAGTAATCAGTAACCCTCCTGCCTCAGTCTCTTGAGTGCTGGGATTCCAGGTGTGCCCCTCCATGCCTGACTACCTCCTCTGTTATAAATCCTACTTACCCTTTCTCATTTCAACTATATTCCTTGTCTATCTTAAACGGAGACATAGAAAAAAAAACCTTCCTAAAATAATGAATCCTTAGGAAAAAGGAATAAAAACAGGTCAAGTACTTTTGGATCAAGGGAGGCTCCATCACCACTCTTCTGAGTATGGATATCTCAATAAAGAGTGATAACAGAAAACTGACTTACAAGAAGAATGCTTGGCTTGGGTTACTCGAGGTGGGGGCAGGAGGAGGGCCAGAAAAGGCAAATCAGAGGGGAAAGATGTAGCACAGCCCTGGAGGGTGTGAAGCATATTTACATGAAAGCCACTGTCTTAGGAAAAGCCCAGAGCTGAGAGTAGGCTGGTAACTGCAGCAGAACTCTCTCAACAATCAGAAACACTGGCTTCTCCTTCTATGGAGAAGCACGGCACACATGGCCCAATTACTTCTTTCTAAGATGTATTCCTCCTTCTTTAACTGGTGAGTTGTGTGTGTGTGTGTGTGCATGCATGCGTGCGCTAAGAGTCAAACCCAGGACATCACAAATGCTAGGTAAGCACTCTACCGTGGAACTACAACCCTACCCCCAAATCTGAGGTGTTCTAGGCAGCCCTGAAAACTCAGTTCAAACTACAGCTATTTGGGATGCCTCCTCTGATGGAAGCTCTGTGGGTAGTGTTCATGCCTTTATCCTCGAGGCTCATAGGACTCTCATGCTTCACCGCAACACTTGGTTGGGTTCTCTGACAGGAGCTCTCTGACCTGCACATCGTGCGACTCGTACAGTGCCTGGCTCATATCAGGCAAGACAGGAGAACAGAGGCCAAGAAGAAAGAGAACAAAAACACCCATGAGGAAGCACAGGATAAAGAAAGGTGAAAAGATGTGGCAGCCTGCCTTCCCTGACCAAGAAAAAGGGAAATGTGTTAAAAACAAAACAATAGGTATTGACAGAAAATAGCCTATCTGAGTCTTCTCTACCTTTTGCCACTTCCTCTTGTGTCCTGGGATCTCACACCACAACTGCTCCTGATGTTCCATTTCACCCACAGGGAAGGAAAACCAGGTGTCTGCCTTCTTTCACACCGTTGCCCAACCTCCTGTCATTCCTTTTCCACCGGGGACTCTTCCTTCCTTGGGCTCTGCCCTCCTCATCCCCCACACAATGTTCCCAGCTCACTGCCCTCTCAGGCACCTCAGGCATCTTTGCAGTGATGGGAACTTCTGCCTCAGACGAAAACCAAAAGGGGCAGTCTACGGACTCTGGCCTGAGAAATGCTATACTGGGCCAGCAAAATTAGCGAGGAAAAATAATGCCAAGAGGGTGTAAGCAGGCAGGGATGGGAGAGTATAAAGGAATAAGTGCTGGGAAAGAAAGGGCTGAACGACTCCTCCCACACTCCTCAAACTCATGGATAGCCTTTCCACAGTTCTCTTTCCTTCTTACTTTGTTTCTTTCTGTTTCTCTTTCCCTCTCTTTCTTTTTTCTCTCTCCCTTTCGGTCTTCCTTCCTTCCTTTTATCTCTCTTTCTCTCCCCACCCAAACTGCCTGCATTTATTCTCCTTCTCCTTCTCCCTCTCCCTGTCCCTCTCCCCGGCTCTTTCCTACTAAAGACTGAAGAACCCGGGGCCTTGACAATGCAAGGAAAGAGCTCTACCACTGAGTTACATTAAAATGTCCAAATGTACAATAAAATGTGCAATTTAGTGAGACCTTATCTCAAAATAAAAAGGGGCTGGGGCTTTTCATTTTATTTTGAGATAAGGTCTCACTAAATTGCACAGGCTAGCCTCACACGTGTGATCCTGCCTCAGCCTCTGGAGTAGCTGGGATCACAAGCATGTGCCACTACATCTGGCTTCTATTTTTCTCTTTGATGATAGATTGGATAATTTTCCAACTGTCCTCTCATGACCCCTAAGCTTTGGCTACTAGAGCTTTTATTTCTCTCTCTCTCTCTCTGTGTGTGTGTGTGTGTGTGTGTGTGTGTGTGTGTGTGTGTGTATATGTGTGTGCGGGGGATTACCCACAGAATCTGTGTGTGTGTGTGTGTGTGTGTGTGTGTGTGTGTGTGTATCTATGTGCTGGGGATTGAACCCAGATGCTCACGCGTACTAAGCAGATGCTCTATCACTGAGCTATATCCCTGGCCAATACTGGATATTCTTGAGTCTCTTCCAATTACATGCCTTTCTCCTCTCAAGAACCCCTAAGCCTTATCCGGTTGCTCCTAGGTTACTTTTCCCCCTTTGGTTCAGGCATGGCCTTGCTGATGGGTTACCTTGCCTTGAACTCACTACATAGCCCAGGCTGGCCTCAAACTCTAGATGATCCTCTGGCCTCAGCCACTTAGTCATTTCTCTTATCCCACTATTTAGCCGCCACTGAGTATACTGGTGCACACCTGTGATCCCAGCATTTTGGACACCAAGGCAGGATTGCTGTGAGGTTGAGGCAAATGTAAGGTACCCAGTGAATTCAAGGCTAGCCTGAAGTACGTACAGAGACCCTGTCTCAAAAACCAAACGAAAAAACAAACAAAAAATCTCAAGTATTCAGCTGCCTCTCCTTCCCCAAAGCTCTCTCCCCAGTTCTGGAGTCACTTTCCCTCAGTGGATATCATATATACAAAAGCAGTTTATAAACTGTCAAGCACTGTGTAAAAGCACTACCAGAATTGTAATCTTTCTCTCTCCTAAATGGTCTGTTTTTCGTGATATTTCATATCCCTTTCTCCCCCTGTACAGTTCTGCTCCCATCACCTAGCAGGTTTGATTTGGTGCAGGGTGGGAACCAAAGCTGTGTGTTGCATGGTGCACAGTGTCAAAATGCAGGCAGGCATCTCAGCCCGAGGCTTTGGCAGAGTTCCCAGGCACAGCCATCGGCCCAGCCCAGGACAGTAGGCGTGGATAAGGTGGGAGAGGGCATAAGTGCGGTGGCTGTAGCCCCCCATCACCAGCAGCTCTCCCTGCAGCACAGCACCTGCAGCACCCACATGGGCAGATGGCAGAGGCACCAAGTGAGTCCACCTATCAGTCCTTGGTTCATAGACCTCAAAGCTAAGCAAGTCTCCAGTCTCACCTAGCCCACCTGCTACATACAGCCGCCCACCGAGAGCAGCCATGACATGGCCAGCCCGAGGTATTCCCATTGGGCTCAAAAGTGTTCCTGGCTTCTCAAGTTTGGGGTCATAATGCAGCAGCGAGGCCATGTATTGGTCAGCTCCACTATAGCCACCACACAGGTACAATCGGCCTTCCAACAGGGCAGCTGCGTGGGCAAAGCATGGGGTCGGAAGTGCAGGAGCGGGCCTAAGACAGAACAAGACAAAGATCAGGCAACTGCATCTTCAGCTCTCTCTCTGTTCCAAGTGTAGTTTCTCCCTGTATGCAATCATTCCCACTTACCTCCAGACATTGAGCTCAGGGTTGTAGGTCTCCACAGAGTTAAGGGCAACACCGTTGCATCGTCCACCCAGGGCATAAAGTAGTCCGTCCAATGCCACCAGGGGGAACAAGCTCCGAGCCTGGCACAAAGGTGCTATCTCTTCCCAGTCCTCTTGACTGGGGTCCCACCTGGAACACAGTGAGGTGAGAGATGGGAACAGTGACCCTGGAATCCTGTGGTTGGCTTGGTTAGCAATTTCTCCAACCTGCCCACCTTAGGGCCTGCCATACCCTGCCCACCCTGAGAAGCTCATACCTGAGAGTTGAAGCCAGAGTGCTGGAGTGGCTGTAGAAATCCTGTCCCCCACACACATAGAGCTCATTTCCTGTCAGGCTCACAGCCCCATGCCGGAAGCGTCCTGGGGCAGGCAGAGCAGGCAGCTGGCCCCACTCCACAGTTCGCACCAGCCCCGTGCCGCAGTGGAAGGCCCGGGCCCACCACACTTTTTGAGAAGGCTGTCTTTGGGCCATGTCAGGTCTGAGCTCATCCCCACCAATCACCACCAGTGCCTGGTCAGGCTTCCTCCACCTCTCTCGACCTGGAATCTCAGCCTCCACCATCAGCTGGTAGAGCAAGTTTGCAGGGAGGGGTGGGGGTAGCCCAGCTGCCCGCACTTTTCTCAGCTCCCTGGTAGACATACGGCCAAAGCGGACACACTGCAGCAGGGCCTTGGCCTCTGACTCCTGTATCTCAGGGTTGGCAGCTAACCAATATCGTGCAGCCACAAAGGCCTCAAACTCCTCCTGAACATGGAGCTCATCGCTATTCAGGAGTTCAGCCAGACAGGCAGCTGGTAAGGAAGAGAAAGCAGGGCACAAAGCCACAGCAGGCAGATGGGTGAGGAGGTAGTGACGAGCTTTACTCCAGAGCCTCTCCAATCCAGGGGCTTCAGCCATGGGGAACAGGGCCAGGCAACGGGCAGGGTTGAGGCCTTGAGCCAAGGCCTTCTGACACAGATCCAGGCAGGAAGAACTTTGGTACTGCAGAGCAGCCTGGGCAGCTCTCAGCAGTCCTGACCACCCTGCTCGTACTACCCCAGAGTAAGCAAAAGAGACGAGGAGTTGCAGGTCTTGGGAAGACATGGTGTGCAGAGATATCTCTGTGCCTTGGGATTCCCTCATTCCACTCAGGAGCATGGCCCCAAAGAACTCACTGCCACAGGCCAGGGCTGCTCTGTGCACTGCAGGAGAGAAGAAGCAGAGGAAGACCCATGGTGTGGCAAGACTGCTAGGCAATCCCAACTTTGTGGCCAAGGGGCAGAGTCAAACCACAGCACATATTGGAAAATCATGGGGTACTTATACAATGCAACTTTCAGGGGACTACCCCTAAGGGTTCAGTAGGTCTGGACAGAGGCCCTAGGATTTTTTTTTGTGTGTGTGTGGTACCAGGGATTGAACTCAGGTCCTTGCGCTTGCAAGGCAGGCCACTGAACCACTGAGCTAAATCCCCGGCCCAGTCCTAGGAATTTATATGCTAACATTTTGAAGCACCCCAAATGAATCTCATGTTATTGGTCTGAATATGCTTTAGGGTTTTTTTTAGTTCAGGTCAGTTAGAAAAAGACGTTTTTGTTTTTTTTTTTTTTTTTTTTGAGACAAGATCTCACTATGTAATCCAGGCTGACCTCAAACTCCCTGAAATCCTCCTGCCTCTGCCTCCTGAGGGCTGGGATTACAGGTGTGTGCCACTATGCCCAACAGAAAAAGAGCCTTAAAGGGTCAAACTGAGAAGATACTAGAGATAGCATTTATAAAAAGGAAGCATAAAATAAACTAGAAAGACCAATACATACCTTGTGTAAGTCTCTATATGTTGTACATAAAATAGTGTTTCCTTTATAATTGTGAAAGCTATTGCCATCAGCCATTCTGGTTTGCATTTGTTTGTTTTTCTTTGAGACAGGGTCTTGCAATGTACTCCAATCTGGCCTTGAACTCACTGTGTAGCCCAGACTGGCCTCGAACTCACAGCAATCCTCCTGCCTTAGCCTCCTCCAGCCATTCAGTTAGCATTTTGCTGGAAAAGGAGTACCACTCAAGAATGTCTATACTTTTACTGGATATGGTGGTGCACATATGTAATCCTAGCTATTTAGGAGACTGAGAAGGATTGCAAGTTAGAGGCCAGCCTAGGCAACTTAATAAAAACCTGCCTCAAAAAATAAATAAGTAAATAAAAAGGGCTGGAGATATAGCTCAGTGCTCCCTAGGTTCAGTCCCCAAAACAACCCACCCCAAATAAGTACATAAGCGAATGAATGAATGAGTAAATAGAGCTGTGGATATGGCTCAGTGGTAGGTAGAGCGCTTACCCAGCATATTGAAGGCCTCAAGTTCAATCCCCCAACCATGCAGAAAAAAAGGAAAGAAATAAACATTGAAAGCATGACTGAAACCCAACCTCATCTAATTGCCGTGACCTCTTGCCCAAGTTTTTCCAGGTGTCTCAGATTTTCTCCGTACTGTCCTCTCCCCACCTTGGTATAGTTCATGAAACTATGAAATTTAAAACTTCAGTTTTCAAAATCATATAGCTAAATTATTATTTTTAAGGTAAGAAAACTGAGTCCCAGAGAAAGGATGTGGTTTGTCTTCTATTTCCATGCAGTAGCCATTGAGGCAGTTCATAACTCTCCACTGCCATTAATATCAAGCTGCAACAAACATGCTTTTGTACCAATAATTTGGTTACCTGCAGGGCCTTCATGACAATGAAACTATTCTAATAACAAACACTGCTAAACAGCCAGAGCTTATACACTGCCTAAAGTAACTCAATTTGAAGTACTCAGCATAATCTATAGAGAGCTCTGGCCAAACCATTTAATCTAATCTCACTGACCCAAAGTCAAGTTTATGGGACATTGAGAGGGTGAAGGAACTAATTACACAAAATCATAAAAGAAAAAATAAAAATCCAGGAAATGAAGTATTTTATAGAGCAGCCAATCTTCAATAAGTCAAGTCATAAAAAGTGGAGGGAACACTGAACAAGACTAAATAAACAAGAGGCATACAGGTGATTATACCATAATCCTTGATTAGTTTCTGGGTTGAACAAACTAGCTCTAAAAGATATTTGGGGGGGGGGATTTAGCTCAGTAGTTCCACCGCCTGCCTTGCAAGCACAAGAGCCAGAGTTTGATTTCCAGTACCAAAAATAAATAAATAAATAAATAAATAAATAAAAGATTTTTTTGAATATGGGCAAATATAAAAGTAGACTAGGTGATATTTATTAAAGAATTATTGTTAATTTTGTTGGACATGATAAAGGTATTGTGGATATACAAAAAAATTTGTTTTGCAATGTGAGGGATCAAACTTGCAATCTAGCACACGCTAGGTGCATGCACACACACACACACACACACACACACACACACACACCTACTGACCCATATCCTCAACCCAAAGGTCCTTTGTTCAGGCTGGCCTTAAACACACTATGTAGCCAAGGATGGGGTCAAACTTGCAATCCTCCTGTGTCAGCCTCCTGAAGGCTGGTATTACATACATGGGCCACCATGTTCTACTGTCTTTTTTCTTTTTTTCTTAAAGACACTTATTTGAGAGTCAGGGATTTAGCTCAGTGGTGCCACACCTGCCTTGAAAATGCAACAACCTAAGTTGGATCTCCAGTACTCACTCAAAAAAAGACACCTATCTGAGCATTTATGAAGGAAATGCCATAAATTTAAACTTTAGCAAAAAACAAAGAGATAGGGCCAGGGACTTAGCTCAATGGTGCCACTGCCTGCCTCACAAGCACAGGATCCCGAGTTCGATCCCCAGTACTAATAATAATAATAATAATAATAATGATGATGATGATGATGATGATGATGATAATAATGATAATAAAACAAAAAAGAGATAAAATAAGTATAGAAAATTGTTAGTGGTTTAGTCTAGGCGATGAGTGAGTATCAATCTTACTAGTCTCTTCACTTTACTTCATAGCATTATTTACTATATTTCATAATACAAAAAGGTAAATGTTTCTATAAGTCCAGTCAGGTAGGTTACGGGGCCCAAACTCTTAAGTGAGGTTTATGAACTCATGCTGCTTTGACCACCTGTGGCATGTGTGCCTCTCTCCATGAGTGACTCAGGTTCATTTGGGTTCCATTGGCTTTTTAAGCAGTAGGTAGTGGGCTGGGGCTTCCCAAGTAACAAATATCTGTGATAGCTTTTATTATATATTGCCTGGGAAAATAATCTACATTCCCAGAAATGTGCTAAGTCACCTCAGCTTCCATATCAATCAACTTACAGCTCAGAGCCAACTGCGAAAGTGCGCACGGCCACTTGTGTTCACTTGTTATTCATCACTGTTCCCTGATTTTAAATTATATGAATATTTAAGTTCCAAACCTCAGTGAGAATTTTATTATTATGGAATATGTTAACTCTCCCTCAACCTAGTGCTAATCAGAAATGATAACAAAGGGGTGGGGATTTAGCTCAGTGATTCCAGCACCTGCTTCGCAAGCACAAAGACCCAAGTTTGATCCCAGGTACCAAAAAAAAAAAAAAAAAAAAAATGGTAATAAAGACTTCTGGGCCTGTTTTTTCCTCCTGGGAGTTGCAGACACTGATAGGTCCCAGTCATTCCTCTAATGACCAGAAACTATGTGACTCTGGACATGTCTTTGAGATTGTAAAGCATAAAAGCTGAACCAGGTAGTCACTATACTAATCCCTTGTAACTTTAAATTTTTATGTGCCATATTTGGGCTCCATTTTCTAGGTCCTTGGAATAATTGTATAGGAGGCACTGGATGGCATAGTGAAAGCAAACAGGACTAGTGCTTGTTTGTATCCTGGCTCTTACCCAATAACACCTCTGAGTTTAATGTTTATTGTCTGAATCTAGAGACAGCAATATCTACCTAACTAGTTTTCAGTAAGAATTAAGAGAGGCACATATAAAAATTAGAGGTTCCATTTGACCCAGCTATCCCTCTGCTGGGTATCTTTCCAAAGGAATTAAAAGAATCATACCTCAGTGATATAGGCATACCTGTTAATAGCAGCACAGGTTGTAAGAGCTAAAACCTGGAAACAGCCCATTTGCCCATCAGTTGGAGACTGGATAAAGAAGATGTGCTTTTTCTTTCTTTTTTTTTTTTTTACTATGAAAAATTATATTCCAACAAATTAGCAAATTTTGACAAAATGAACAGATTCCAAGACTCATACAAATTACTAAGCTAACCTAAGAAGACACAAAATTGCTGAGCAATCCATTAAAAAGCAATGAAAGTGAGTCAGTAATAAAGGACTTACCAACTAAAAAAGTCCAGGATCTGATAGATTCATTGCTGAATTCTACAAAACTTTTGAGGATGTTATCACCCATACTCCTAACGCTCTTTGAAATTAAAAAGAACAGTGTTTCCAAATTCATGTGTGGAATCCAGAATTACTCTGATTCCAAAACCATCCCATTCTCTGCTAGAAAATTACTATTGTTTTATTTTATTAATACATGCTGCAGTACATAATCAATACATTTATTATCAGGAGTTGGTACATGTACATAATACATATTAATTCTTTTTTTTCAGCTTTAATTGAGTTTATTGGTACATTTTAGGGATACAGTACAGTTACATTCATTGTTGGGATCTTGTACCTCTACATGACAAGTCTTAAGGGAAAAGAAAAAAATGTGAGAGAATGAAAAGATGAAAATAAAGTGTTTGTAAATGGGGAGGGGAGGAGGGGGTGAAGGGAGGGCAGAGGTAAGGGGAAAAGATGTGCTTTTTCTATAAAATGGAGTATTACTCAGCCATAAAGAATGAGAAATTAGAGACATTTATAGCTAAATGGATGCACATTGAGGCCATACTCTTAAGTGAAATAAACAGAACACACTTGAGTAAATACAGAATAGTTTCTCTGGTGTGATAAACTAAATGTGTAAATAAGGTTCAAATGGTGTAATTGATAATGTGAAATAGGAAGAAAAGATCTAAAGGTGAAGGGGAAGTGGGAAGGGTAAGGGAAAGGAAATAAGGAAAAAGAAAAAATATGAAAAAGGAAAAATGGAAACAAAGTCTTTGCAAATAGGGAAGGGTGGAGCAGGTGAAGGGAGGGCAGGGGAATGGGGAAAAAGTAAGATCCAAGATACATCATGTAAAGGTACAAGATCCCAGTGATGAGTGTAACTGTATTGTTTACCTTAAATGTACCAATAAACTTAAAAAATAAAATAAAATTGTACATGGGAATGCCAATAAGTTAAAAAAATTTTCTGGTTCCTCAGACAACACAATAGAATCTGAATAAAAATCAACTTATTCAACTGCAGTTTCCCTGGTGATGCCGTTAACTTCCAAGAGCCATGGCTTGGGAGCATTAAGATTCTGGAAAAACAGTACCAGATCTTGCTTGTTAGCTCCAGACCTCTAAGTCTACTATAATGTCCAGTACACAGATATGAAAGGCACTAAGACTTTTTCACCCCATTTCTCTGCCTTCTTGTATACTAGAGGATGCCAAGGGCTTTTGGTTAATCTGTTTGAGTCAATCACTTTCTGCTTATTCTAGTGCCATTAACTGTGCCCTTAGCTCCAGCCAGCTGGCTGGAAATCCCTTGACACTACGCCAGATAAAGAGAACATAGGATCAGTTTTAAATCTCTCTGCGCCTAGGAAAAAAAACAACTCAACTGCGCATGTGCAGCTCTCGGTCAGCAGCAGCTCCGGTGGCAATTAGCAGGTGAACGCCTGCCTTTTCCACACACTGTTTGGGTAGCATGTGCACTTGCACCCGTGCAATACCCCATAGACTTACCCTGGAGCCGGTAGCCATCTGCCTCCAGCTCGAGATCACACCCGACGCCCTCTCGGTAGAGGCACTCGATGCTGCGGAGGTTCTCCCTCAGCTCCTCCGCCTGGCTGGGCAGCTTTTCATCTTCCGTGGTCTTTCCAGAGCCCTGGCATCTCCGCTGGGCTGCGACCTTCACTCGGGGTGCTCCCAGGACTTCTGCCGCAGCCAACACATCCCCCAGGGAGGCCGGGCCCAGAAGCCCCTCATAGGCAAAGGTCAGCACGGCCTCCCAGCCCCCAGGGGCCACATCCAGGCTGAGGCCAGGCCGTGAGTCCCCGCCACCCTGCAGCCTGCCTCGGAAGAGGCTGCTGACCGCAGCCAAGATGACCCGGTGCACCCCATAAACCCGCCCCCCGACTGACACCTGTTCATCCAGCAGTAGCCTCTGCTCCCACAGCCGCTGTGCTTCAGCAAAGAACTGGCTTGGGTGCTCCTTGCTATACAGCCCCTCGGGGTCCACAGTGGAGTCTGCATCCTCCTCCTTTTCCTCTAAGGAGGAAACTGGAGGGGGAGGGTTTCCTGGGACCAGGGGTCTGGGGCCAGGCTCTTCCAGAGGAAAGGAAAGGAAACCAGACTCCTCTGGGGAGGAAGGCCAGGAGGGGGTTCTTCCGGCAGGCACAGGGAGTCCCAGGCCGTCCTGCTGAACGGGAAAGGAGACACACTCCAGGTCAGAGCAATGACGTGCAGCCTCAGAGACGCTCATGGCCCAGGTTCGCCGGATTGCTGCAAGAGAGCAAGCAAGAGAAGCGTCTTAGCTGGGCCCAGGAAGGCCAGAGGAAACGATGTCTTCAGATCTTGGAACTGCCAATCCCTCCCTCTGTTCCAGCCTCCTACCCCCACCTCAAAGTCGCGCCTCAAGACTGGAGCAGTGGGCCATACAGTGCCAGCTATGGGGTTCACTGGACCCAGCAAAGTACGCAAGAGGTGTGTGTAGAAATCCAGTGCCCTGGGGCCAGATCCCTCCCATCTTGTCCCCATCCTTTTAGACCCCCTCACGAAACAGCAGCGTCCTACTGGCCCTCTCACTTGAATGCTCGCTCTGCTTGGGGCTGTGCTGTGCAGACCAAACTTAGCCGTTTCCCATCGGTTACCCCACCTGGCTAATTATAGCTGAGGCTGGAGGACTAAACACTGGGCTTCCAGTGCCCAAATTCTGACACCTAATCCCTTGGGACACGTCCTGGGATGACTCCCGCTCCTTCCATCTGGGGAGCTGAATGAGGGGAATTCAGAGTAGAGGGAGCCAAGCCAGAAGGACTGTTTATTACAGTGTGCTGGGGGTAGGAGGCGGGGGCTGGAGAGTCTGGACCACTCAGAGGTAGATGAGAAGTGTCAATCGTGTTTTGAGTCAGTCCTGGGCTTTGAAAGATTACTTTTCTGAGCATGATAAAGCTGGGACCTTGCAGCAAACACTGATGTGAAGTGCAAAGAGCCCAGCCCTATCCACAACAAACTGAAAAGAAGGGTTAGTGAAGGGGCAGGGGGCAGGGTTACAGACCTAGGGGCCTTACCTTGCCAGGGCTTCCTCTGCCTCAAGGGACACAGACTCCAACCCTGTGTTTTCAGAAGAATCTGGGGGAATTTAGAGGACCTGCCAGTGGAGTCTACGCTAGACCAGAATCCCGCACTCAATGGGCCAAGCGCACACAATACCCTCACATTTGAGGCAGAACCCCAACAGCCATCCCCAGTGCCCAGGGTGTTATCTCTTTTCTCATCTGAGACCTAATTCCTGGCTAAAGCCCCTAAAATAGGGTAATCAAACTCAAGGCAGCTCTGAGTGTCACCCAGGGGAAAGGATTTAGGGAGGATGGCAGCAACATGCCTCCCCTCCCCTCCCTGGAGGTAAGATAGGTCAAAGGCTGCTAGGGCACAGACTCCCTGGCCTATAAAAGGCTGCTTCAGGCTGGATAGGCTATCAAAATAAGCAGACTTAATGGAGGAGAAGCATGCTTGTCCCTTACAATTCAGGTAAATGAGCTTTTATGGGTGTGAGTTGGGAGGTGATCTAACCAGCACAGCAATTCCTGTGGCTTCAGGAGTTGTCTCTGTTTCTCCACTTACAACCTGGGTGCCCTGGCCAACTTGGGCAGCATTCCCTGGGTGAATCTACACCAGGGCTACACTCCTCAAAATGGTTTGATTGAGAGAGGCAGACCATGGAGTGATAATAACCAGCTTTTACAGCCTTTCCCCCAGGTCAGATGTTTCAGACTACATGCATGGCTCTCCTGCAGTGAGACAATGGAGCCAGTATCTTGAGCCCACACCAGAAAGTACAGGAACTACAAGTCAGAGACATACCACTGCCCAACCTCTGCTGCCACCCACCTATAAGGACAAGGACATTGGACCTTGCTACAAGTTCTATGCCAACTCCATGGACCCAGGACAGCTCCATTGTAGCCAACCATCTCTGGAGGGTCTACATGGATCCACCATGGTGAGAGCCATTCTAACTCCCAAAGGTAAGATACTGTGTCTGCTGTCTATGCCACTGAAATCCTACGACTGCCCTCCCCTAGTAAGACCTCCAGGTCAGGATCCATCCTCTTGACTGCAGATATGCTGACTAGGGAGGGCTCTTGGCGTTTCTGCCAAGTCTGTGCTACCTCAGCCAGGGGACAGCTTGACTTCCACCTGTGCAGAGGACTGTGCCAAGCCATACACCTGAGAAGACGATCCAGAGAATTCCTGGGCCGGGACAGGCAAGGCCCCAGTGTGCTTTGGCCAGGTCATAGGAGTCACCGCAACAGTCTAGAGCTCAGGGTTCCCAAAGTTTGGGGAATCTCTGAGTGAGAATTTTGTTCCAGCAACCTTGGAGGGTCTCTGAGGAAGGTAGGAGGCAGCGGGGGCTGTGGCTGTGTGTGCTGGAGACCCCTCCTCCCTCATGACTCTGCTCCACAGATCTGCTGTATGGTGAAAATCTGGAGCATCCTCCTTTACCTGCAGCTGCCTTGGGTTAGTGCTCAGGTGGATACAGGTATGAGTTCAGAGCTCTCCTCGGCAGGAGCAAGGGATTCAGGGGACAGGGCCTGAATAAATTCCCATGCCCACTCCAGGGCTCACGTGGCTCATTACCTGCACACAGCCTCAGTCACCACTAGCACACCCTTGTGCACCTCAGACATCAGCCGGCGGGTCTGCTGTAACCATGTTACTTCTCGGACTGCCCAGTCCTGTCAGGATTTGTGAGCTCACAGACTAGCTCATCCTTCCTCTCCTCTCAAGTGACCAATACTTTCTGAACTCATGCTGCCTGGGTCCAGAGCTTGGCCGTTTCATGGGGATCATCGTTGCCTTTGCCAATATCACAGCTGTGGCCATGTACACCGTGGGCTTTGCAGAGACTGTCTTGGATAGGCTCTGGGTAGGTAATGCGTATTCTTTCTCTTTTTGCGCTCTTCACTCGTTTGCTGAGCTTGGAAGGTCTAACCTGCATTGTGGCTCCTCCAGCTTGGGCAAAACATTTCAAGTCACATGGAGGCATTGAATCAGTCAACAAGGATTTTGTAATGTCTGTGCTTTGCCCTTCTAGGAACATGGGGTGCAGCTGCGGAACACAGATTCAAACGATGAGATATGGGTGGTGGGCATGGTGATAGTGATTATCTTTGTGGTGTGGCACTGGCCAGCATACAGTGGGACTCTAAGCCAGGTGCCAGAAAACTAAGCCAAAAGGATGGTGGTGAGCACTGGACCAAATAGCAATGGAGGGAGATGTGAGACTGGAGTTGCTGCTGCCTAAAAAGGCCCGGCTAAATATGGGAAGAGCTGATGTAGCAGATTTCCATGGAAAGCAACTTGAAGTTGGATGGTTTTGCTGGGTGGGACTCCCCACCCCAGGTCAAGAAGAGGCCTTATTCTGAGGACCTGATGGGATGAGTGCACCAGACAAAGCTAGCAGGGGAAGACACCAGATGAGAAATGACATGTACTGCTCTCAGATCGCTACGATTTTAAGACCAACCCTCTAACATGAGCAGGGAGGCTTTGCAGCTGGAGGGAAGACGGAAAAGAATGCCCATTTGGCCAGAACTCCTTTATGAGAACAGGTTGGTGGGAAAGGGAAGGAGAGAAGAGCATTCAGATGAGACAAAGAGAATTGGGACATGGAATACTTACCCCTTCCCTCTCACGCATTTTTCCCACCTCTTTTTGTTACCCATGGTATTTCAGTATTTCAGACCTAAATTATTGTCTTCTTGATTCTCATCTTTTGCCAACTACCTGCTGGGCGCACTCATCCCTACAAATCCTCGTCAACAAGCAACAGGCTTCTTTGGTACCAAGGAACTGGGCTGGAAATGTATTAAAGGAATAATGTCTCAGAATATCACTCACACCCTTTGCAGGAGGGGCCTCATTAGCCCAGGAAATGTGTCAGAAAAAAAGAATCCTTGACTTCCAGTTCTGCTTCTCACCTGCAAGTTGCCCATCACACCAGTCAGAGCACTCTAAGTCTCTGAGTTTTCTAGTTTCCCTCTTCTTTCCAGTCTAACCGAAGTCACTAAACTGGGTAGGGGGTAATATGGATCCTGGCTGAGTGAAGACAGGAAGTTCTTTCACACAGGAAGTGTTTTCTTCACAAACATGGTCCCACAGTGACATGGTTGGTTTGCTTTCCGTATTATTCTCCTCAGCCACTCAAGTCCTGGCTGGAGCCAGTATTTCTAGAGACTTCAAGGTGAGAAGGCTGTCCGCCATGGGGCATGCACTTTGCTGTCCAATAGTCCAATGTTTGTTCCCAGAACTCTGCTACTAGAACTAGAAGCCTGTGCAGGGTTATGTGTTCACCTTCCTCATGGCTGTGGGTTTCATCCTTATTGGTAAGTACACCTTACCTCTCTTTCCGGCTAGGCACTGTTAATCAATTTTCCTATTATGCCTCCCACAGCCCTAACTCTGCCTCCTAGGGCCTAATGCTAAAACCTCATTTCTTTCTCTAGTCCTCAAACTAGATGAAACTGTCTCATACTTGGTAGTAGATGAAAAAGTCTAACGTCGTGGTGGGTGGTGGTACGTATACGTGAGGTGGAATGAAGAGCACTGAGTAAAGAATAGAGAGGACAGGGAAAGGGAAGCCGGATGACATACTTGACTCGCTAGACCCGGATCCCACGACATGAGTTTGGAGACTAACCTTCTCAGTCTTATTTCTTCCAAAGCTGAGCTGAATACCATTGCCCTCATCATCTCCAACTTTTTCTTCTGTTCCTACACCCTCATCAACTTCAGCTATTTCCATGCCTCCCATAGCCACTTGCCTGGTTAGTATGGACAGGTCCAGGGTCCAGGGATGGAAAGACTTGGGGAGTAGGAAGAGAACCTTGGGGAATAATAGCTGGCACTGTGGCTGGGACAGGAATGGGCTGCACTTGCACTCTCCTGCAGGCCGGCACAATTCCTTCCACTGGTGTAGACCCTGGCTCTCCTTCCTGGGCTCTCTGCCCTGCCTGCTCATCGTATCCCTCCTCCTTTGGTGGGCAGCTGTCACTGCGATGTTGCTCATCCTTTTGCTGTTGCTATGTTCCTCAAGAAACCAGGTGAGTGAGCGGGCAAGTGGTAGGGGAATGAGGAAGAGAAATATGACAGGCGCTGACTCCTACAACAATCCCAGAACCGACAACAGCAAGTATCTGTCGCCTCACCCTTCTGTCTGTGCAGATGTGAACTAGGGCTCTTCAGTCCAGGTGGGCACACATCTATGGCTCTGTTCAACT